TCGGAACCATCGATGCACTTTTGGTGTCGGAACCATCGATGCACTTTCGGTGTCGGAACCATCGATGCACTTTCGGTGTCGGAACCATCGATGCACTTTTGGAGGCAATATCATCGATGCACTTTTGGACCTTTGGAGGCTGGGTTCAATTTCACCTTAAGTTTTGAAAATTGATATTTGAATGTGAAATCGGTCGAAATCATCGATGCACCTTTGCGCCGGGAATGGTCGATGCACTTTTGAGCCGGGAACGATCGATGCACTTTTGCGCCAGGAATGGTCGACGCACTTTCGGATCCAAGTTCATCGATGCACAATGAGGCTCATGGTGCGTTGATGAATGAGAGCCTGGGGAATGGTCAAGACGTCTAGAGATTTGACAAATAGTAGATTGATGAACAAGTCATTTTCAAACCCAGTCATCAATGTACTGTGAGGCTCATGGTGCATTGAAACAGCTATCTGTGGATGACTGTAGTTGATGGCAGCCTTTAATTCCGACTTTGCTGATCAATGTCATGGACCGGAATCCACTGATTTCAATGCACCATGAGGCTCACGGTACATTGATGACATGATCGGTTTCAAGAAGTTTCATCAATGCGCATTTTGCTCACCGGATTTGATTTTTTATATGCATACTACCAAGCTCAAAGGCAGGGACTGCCCTTTACCGTGGCTGGGACTGCCATCATTGTAGTGGGGCAGGGATTGTCCCATCTCTCCTGCCATGGCGCCCCTGTGCCGGATGCTTGAGCAGCAGCTCGTGAAGGTCCAAAAACCTGATGAGGAGCAGAAGAAGTTGGCCGCCATCAAGGACGAGGGAAGCGCGGCAACACCATCTCCGATGAAGAGACTGGCAAGCGACTTCGAAAAGAAGATCAAGGCTTTGCCAGGCGACACCTCCCTTTTGAAGGACTGTCACGCGCGCTTCAACTTTTTGTGATTCAAAACAAGCGGAATCTATCTCCATTTCCTTCCCACTTGTTGTTTGGTGGCCCTTGGGCCTTGGCATCACAGGACATGGTCAACACTCTCATGACATTCACTGATGAGCAAATTAACCTTGATTGCCAGCACCCCGGGCAGTTGATCTTGGATACACTGACCGGAGATTCCAAAGAGACCTACTCCTCGCAGTTGTCATCTTTCTTTGAGAGCTACAGTGCCATGCGATCTCAAAGTTTCAGACCAATTCATGAGTTCGTGGGGTTCTAAGTTGAAATTGACTTCAAAGATATTTCAAGACAATTTGAATTCAGATCTCCGTCCGAGCCCCGGGAAAAGCATCAATCAGGCGTTGGATCAAAACTCTGTGGGGGAGGTCGTCAAGTTTCCTCTGACCTCATTGAAGCCCCTTGGATTAAAGCCCTGAGCCTGTCAGATGTTAGTAGTCATTAAGACGTTTTCACGATGGTTGTTGAAATTGATTTTGTTTCAACCAGTCAGTTGTGGGTTCCACCCCGTTCCTCAATACTTCTTCGAGTTGGGCCTTCCTGCACTACTGAGGTTTGACTTGCCGGAAGATGGACTTCCGACCATCCAGGACTGGGTACAAACTTGCACTAGCATGTTGATGGACGGCATCGAGCTGCAGCGGGAGCCGCTTAGCGTTTGCGTGCCGGACATGGGCTTTCTGGATGCAATAGGGTTGGGGAGGGGTTGGGATGGGTTGGGTACGGTGGAGGAGGGAGGGTGATTGTCACAGAGAAGTCATGGCTCCCCACTCTATCAAGCATGAATTGCAAATTCGACATCTCACCAAAATTGAAGTGCATAATAATAATGTTCCTAATTGAAATTGAGTTGGCCCATCATCAGGGACCTTTTGCACGGTTTGTGTTTTTTTGGCAGTGTTGTGCTCAAGACAGAAGCAGCCTCAAGCCGCCGCTCTGAGCCCAGCAATGAATCAAAGAGAACAAACACGTGACCATCGGGACTTGCTGCGGTTCATCTACCAAACGACCGCTAAAGGGAAGAGCAAGGGCAAGGACTTCCAAACGTGGCTTGCGCAGTGGCGGACCTGTGCTGCTAATTCCAGAGGTGTGGACGCAAACTCCGTTGAAGGCTGGACTTCGGATTCAAAAGTGCGTTATCAATGAAAGCAGTTAATCTTGCCAGTTCGTTTACAGTCACAGTCACGTATCAACCTTCAATTCTAAAGTTTTTGAAGCCCCTTTTATATATTTTTGGTGTGAGCAGCCACAAAGATTCTTATAGCACCTTTCGTGTTTCTCTTTCATCTACTGGCAACACTTGTCATTTTTCAACCCTGCAGGTGAGTTCGAGCGGAACGACAGGACGGATGAGTAGCGATGGGTCTATGCAAATCACACAGACTGGCATCGATATGGTACGCCTGCCCAATCTAGCCCTCATCACCGTGCACCGCTTCAACCTCCTGCTTCAGATTCACAAGGGAAGGGCAAAGGCCAGGGCTACAACAAGATGTCACCGGGATGGACCCAAGAGGAGGCGGAGGCATATGCCGTTGAGCTTACCCAGCGAATCAAGGAGGAGGAGGAGGAGCAAAAAAAGAAGAACGCACACGAGAAGGAGAACAAGGAGAAAGAAACGAAGGATGAGAAGATGAACGGTGAGCAGGAACAGTGGGGTTGGGATCATCATCATGGGTGGCAGTGGGGCGATGGTCACAGTCAGGATTCAACTTGGCGTTGGGGTGAGAGTGACATGAAGGATGACCACGACATGAAGGATGAGAAGAAGGAAGATGGTGCAAAATCAGAGGAGCAGCCAGAAGGTGAACCATCTGCAAAAGCTGCAAAGTCAGGGGAGCAGCGAGAACCTGCGAAAGAAGCAAAGTCAGAAACGGCGGCGGAAACTACACCACCGCCACCGTGGCGAGCTGCTGCTGTTCAACCACCGGCTGCTCCTGAAGTGGGCACGACGCTAGCTCCAAGTCCTGCGGGTCCTCTAGGGGCGACGCCCAAGGTCCTCTCGACGCCCTCGTCTCACAAGCGCCAATGAGCCATTGTCGCAATGAAGTGAAAAATGTTCGAAGGGTTGGCATTGGGGGGTGAGGTGCGCATCCAATTGTGACCATGACCTTTCAAGGTAAACTGTTCCCAGAGACATGGTTACCTTACGCCCAATTGTTCCGGTGACTTCCTGCATCCACACCAAGAATAAAGGCCTTTAAGCTAGTAGACCTTCAAAGGAAAATCTTGAGGGGGGTTTTTTTCTAAAACATGTTGTATTACCGATTTCAATTGGTCCAGTCTCATCCACCATGCGTGTCAAATTAATAAAACGAACCCATCTAATGGGCTAGCTTTGGGTTCCTGATTGAAGGCGCCCCAAAGGTCATCAAGGGGTCGATGTGTTTTACATGTACTTTGCCTGTGAGGGGATAATTTCACACATGAATCAGAGGTAGTGGTAAAGACTTCCACGATCTTCCACGTAATTACTTGTCACTGACTATTGGCATTGGCCGCCTGAGGCTCTCGGACAACGTCTCAGCTTGACACCCACAGCTTGGACGTGATCAAGGGGTGGACGCGTATGACCTGCGTTGCTTGGGTGGCCCTCATGGTGTCAGAGCTTGATTGCGAGGACACAGAGGTGCGGGCGAACCTGAAGCCTTTCGAGAACTTCTTGGATCGCTCATGGCTCATTCCGATGACTGCAACTAGGTTAATTCACTCGTATGTATTTTTCCGGCAACTGTTTGTGGGAGAGCTGTTGGGTGTTTGGATTGAGGGATAAACGGCTCTGTTATTTATATTTAAGGTTGATACCGGATTGGACAAAGACATGCAGTCCTTCAAGAACCTCTCGCTCAGTTTCAGGGGCGCTGAGCGACAAGCTCCTACTGTGTTGCAGATGGCTTTGCGCTTCAGCAAGGTCATGGACCGTCAAAGTGATACTCAGCATGGCAACACAGAGTCCCGGCTGAAGAAGGTGGTGGCCCAATTCAACTCGAGTCCTGGGCTCCATGCAAAGCATCAACTTGATGCTGACAAAGAGCGGACAATTCTCAACATCATTATTGGGACAAGCAAGGACAGGGTTGGGAGGCTTCCAACAAATTCAAACCCAGTTTTATTACATGTTTGTATTGTTTTGTCTTTTTGGGTTTTATGCCGACCTCCTGGCAGGAAGCGAGAGAGATTATGAGTCAGCATTTGACATTTACAAAATGGAAAGATTCCGCCTTCTCAACGGAACAGCTGAGAACAACCAGATGGCTCCTAGGGGCTCGGCCGAAGAACATTCCGGACGGGTACCATGAGCTTCTCACTGTCACGCCGATGGCGCAAGAGATGCTGATGGATTTGCATGTCAAATCTTTCCTACGCGCCACTCGGCGAGTGAAGTCAGCTGCTCGCAGCCGTGCACGCCTTTGCGCTGACGACTTTGACCGTCTTGTAGATTTTGCCTGTGTCTTTGCACACATCCGGAAATGTGCTATGCGCGTGGTGTCCAAGAGCCGCGATGTCGATTCAAAGCTCATGGCAGCTTTCCTTGCAAAGTTTCTTGGTTTTCATGTGTTTCGCTGCTATGCACATGTTGTACTTTATTTTTTTGAAAGAGATCATCATACGCCACCACGCGCTAAACAGCAATAAACTGATTTGATACCAAGGGATTACTATCAAGACATTGAAGCCGTGATTGCCTCCAAGAATCCCGAGTTTCGTGTCCAGTCGCTCACCGTTTGGCAAGACATCGTTGAGCCACCTAGCCTTCCAACGGTTCTTCAAGGAGATGAAAGCGCTGATCTTTTGGCTGCGCAAGAGGCTGCCAGCGCGACCAAGTTCAACGAGCTGCAGATCCGCTTGACCGCCGATTGCGAGGCCATGAACAAATACAACGCGGACAAGCAGAAAGCAGAATCTCGGAAGCATGTGCAGCGTGTGCTGCATGAGAAGAACCAACTTGCGGTCGGCAAGAAGGTTGTGGACGAGTACATGGCTAGCAATTGCTGGGCTGGCTTGATTGGTGACATGATGCTCCCACATGAGCTTGACAAGATCATCAAAGCGGCAGCTGCAAAGCGACAGGCCTTCAGTTTTCTTTTGCGTACTGTGGCTAGTACTGTGGTTGTATTGTGGTTGTCAATAGTGTTTATATAATTACACATCCATCGTCAACCCTTTTTGATTCTTTTGCAGGTTGCAATGGACAAGCTCTTGACCATTGGCTGGGTGGATCTGACAAAGATTGGGGTGCTCACTCAGAAGGACATGAACAAAGTGGGGACATGGTGCGAACGGTTGATCAGCCGCAACCCTACGAGCCACTCAAGACAAAATTATGTGTTTCATGACTGGCTGGGAAGCCTACCATGAATGACTGGGAAGTCAATTATTACTTTCAAGGTGTGAAAGAGTTGTCTTTTTCGGGGTGTGAGGTTGATGGCTGGGAAGCCATGGTGATCTGGCTGGGAAGCCTTCAGATGTCAAATGTTTGGGTGTGGAATTTGAGGCACCTGCGTAGTGATGGCCCTTCCGTTGCTCACTTCAAGTTCTGGATGCGGGGCGCTTCGATCAGACATCAGGCGCTGGGCCCTCCAAGTATTGCTCGTGATCTGTCAAACACTTTGGTAAAAGAATTGTTTTGCATTGCAAATGTCAGGAAGCTTGAAGACAAGCTGCTCTTTCACCAGATGGAGTTTCGGTCCTTCTTCTTGCCTGTTGACCACACCTCACTCCATCACAACAGAGATATGCCTGGCGGGTTCACCTTCTACCTCATCGTGTCTGATGCGACGCTTCCGCGGAGTGGCACCGCCCATCGGGCCAACAGATCAGCAGAGAAGGCCTGCTGCAGTGAGCTTGTCTTATTCCAAATCATTAAAGTGTTTGTTGCTTGATTCACTCCATCATGATCATGATAGATGATAGTGTCAACTTGTCGATTACCTGTCTTGCAAGGTGGATCGTTCCGGTGTCAACACCTTTTGCTTCTCAAAGCTGTGGCAAACCCAAGTGACTTCATCTTCACCACGTGCTATCGATGAATCCGAGTTCATCGTGCCTGCGACTGGCGGTGTTTCTTCAGCCGAAGGCCGCAGGAACTACACAGATTTGCAGGAAACAAGTCAGTGGTTGGGCGGCCTCGAGATTCCCAAGGTCATTCTGGGTGATCTGCTCAGTGGCAACTTGCTTTCTGCTCAAAAAGTTTCAACCCTTAGTTTCATGTGTTTCAAGCGCCTCAACAATTCGCAGCCAGTTTTTGCTTTGCTAATTGTCCAATGAGGAGTCCAAGCCGGTGATCAAGACGAATATCCCCCTTGCGTTGTTGTCCACGCGACCCTTTACGACGGTTGCCTGGAAAGGGCCTGCGTTGACCTTGGGTTTGTTTGCTGCAGCCATTCAGAGAAACAGGCGCACTACACCACAGGTGTTGCCCAGACAAGGTCAAAGTTGATGGACATGTGGAAGAGTCGTTCAGGTGTCATGAGCGAGCGGCTCCCACGCTACAAGCCTGAGATTGACGAAGATCAGATGGCCGGGCCTGTCTCAGAGCCAAGTCTCAAGGTACGCTCATTGGTGGACGGAGTTCTTTGCATGCCACGCGACCCTTGGTATGCCATTCAAAATGTGTAAACTTTGTCAACTATTTATTCAATATATTTTCCCCACGCAATGAAATCCTGGTGAGCTTCAGACTTTTTCATTTCTAAGGAGGTGCGGTCTGAATGGTTGGCTGATCCTGTCCGAGCCCCTCAATGGCGGCAAGTGCTTTCTGAGTTCGACCGTTGCTTTGGGACACGTGCCGACAATGCACCTCCTGCTCCTGTGACGGAAAGCGCGGCCACTGAGCCAGCCGTTGCCTCACTGGATTGGGATAGTGTCTTCCCTGATGAGCCGCGTGAGGCTACCGCTTGGCACACCAAATATGATGCACTAGTCCTTGGCAAATTTCAATGGTGCCCGGAGCTCACAGGGTACATCATTGGCAGCTCTGAGGGCAATGGTGTTGGAACCAAGTTTTTCCTGGAGGCTTCGGAGGACTACACCATTGATGGGTTCAATCACGCAGACGCTGAAGCCTTGCTGACTTATGGTGCCGGGGTGTGGCTACAGGATGCCAAGGTGCAGTCCTATCTCGATGAGCACCCGGATGGAAAGGGTGTCGAATGCCACTTTGACTCAGATGAGTGCAAGGTCCTTCTTGTCGAGGTGGGGGTTTTGATGACAAATCCGAGAAATTAGTCACTAGTCTATGTAAAAAGTTGATGATGACAATCACATAACGTTGATAGCGCCAGAGCTTTTTAGAACCATATTTGTATCAGGAAAACGGTCAAGATGGTGCAGTCACAACTTTGCGCGAAGTCATCCGGAAGTGCGAGAGCATGAACATGGTCGACGTCGAGCTTGGGGGTCACACCTACTCGAGACCTCCTCAAGTTGTGCAGGGTCTGGCAAATGACAGGTTTGATACTTAATGATTTCAATCTCCGATTTTCATTGGCATTTGCATTTCAATATATTTCAATTATACAGACAATATATTTTTATATATATTTGTGCGCTAGTCGCGGTGTCCAGTTCACCATTTGAAGCTGTGAGGTTTGAGGTCTCTCGCAAGGAGAACTCCCGGCTGTTGTGGCGCCCAAACCAAGTTCAAGCCAGTGGGTTGCGCGCTACGAATGCGGCGAGCTTCTACGCTCACAGCACACTGAGCGCGTCTCAAGGCCTGTTGCAGGCAGGGGGTGCTTTTTGGAGGTTTGGTGAGTCAGCTGCTTTCCCTAAACTGGCTTCCCAGCCGCCTATTAAAGCCTCGTTAGCTCCCCCGGCCACCAGGCTTCCCAGCCCCGGCTTCCCAGCCACCTCCCTAACGCTGGCTTCCCAGCCACATACTTTGAGAGCGCCCCAAAAAATCACAATCGCCCTTGAGCCTGTCCTCCAGGTCTGGCGCATGAGAGCTCACAAGAGCGAGAAGAGCTTGTGCGCCGCCAAGCCGCTGTGGTTCCTGGCTCGCCAGCTCAAAGTGCCAAAGGGTATGGTCCAAAGGATCGTGTGAATCATATGTTTTCCAACGGTGCCCCTCATTTTGTGGAATGCCTAGCATTCAATCGCACCGATATTTTGGCTAGCTTGGCCTTGTCGCATGACTTTTGAATATGAAGCAACACCACAATCACAACAATTAAAGTCTTATATTTTGTGTTTCCTGGTGTTCAAGGCCACTTCATCTCAGACCTGAGGGCCGGGAAGGTCGCAATCTTGCTTGCGTTGCAGGTTGAAACACTTGCAGTTGGAAATCTGGTGTCCGGCATCCGAGTGAAAAAGGTATTGGATCCAGGGGCTCTGTCACAAGGCAAGATTAAAACCCTTATGGAAGCGTTTTCTGTGACATGTGATGTGGCATGTGATGTGTACTCACGATAGTTTTGGAAGGCACAAGCCACTTTTATGGAAGAGTAGTCAACATAGTCATTATTAGTTTGCACGCTGATGGAGGACTCTCAGTGTATTTTTGTTGAAGAAGATTCACAGGTGATCTTTGAGGAACCTGAAGCAGGGGTAATGGGCTACCACAGCATTGCAGCGGATTTGCCAAAGGCGACAACACCTTCACGACCTCCAGTCGCCTTCCTCGCAAAACCCGTGGAGCCTGTGTGTGAGGATTCACAAACTTCTACGCGGACTCCAGAGCCAACCCTCCAAGCCCCAAGCCCGAAGGACCCCAAGCCCATCTCCGAGATTTTGGGTTTGGGGAATCGGAATCGCTTTGTCCAAAACAGCCCAGCTCGACGCTCTGATGATGAATCCACATTGAACTTGGGATTTTGGGACAAGCCTGAGGAGCCGGAGAAGAGCATTACTGATGATCCCTATGGTGATGGTGATCAAGCAGTCGCTGGAGGTGATGAACAAGGCGGTGATCAAAGTGGTGAAGGGGTCCAAGTTGACGGTGGTGATCAAGGAGTGGCTGGGAAGCCAGACGTCCAAGTTGACGGTGATGATCAAGGTGTGGCTGAGAAGCCAGGGGGTGATCACGGAGTGGCTGAGAAGCCAGCAGACCAAGTTGATGGTGGTGATGAAGGAGTGGCTGTGAAGCCACGGGGCCAAGCTGATGGTGGTGAAGGGGAACAGCCTGCAAAACGTTTGCGCTTGGCTGACATGACCCCCAACAGTAAAGCGCAAGAAGAGAAGCGCCGGTTGGAGCAGAAGCGTGCAAGCAGCCGGGCTTGGCGCGCAAAGTATACCAAAAAGGGGGTTCTGAAGTCAGATGCAGCCGACG